TGAGTGTCCTCAGGGGTAAATCACACACCGGTGAGTGTCCTGAGGGGTAAATCACACACCGGTAAGTGTCCTGAGGGGTAAATCACACACGGGAGTGTCCTGAGGGGTAAATCACACATCAGACAGTGTCCTGAGGGGTAAATCACACACGGGAGAATGTCCTGAGGGGTAAATCACACACCGGAGAGTGTCCTGAGGGGTAAATCACACATGGGTGAGTGTCCTGAGGGGGTAAATCACTCCCCACATCTGGCTGGAGGCCAGGGGTCGGGGGTCTAACGCTGTTTCTGGCCCTGAAAATGCTGAGTGGTGACATGGAGAAAGTGAACCAAGATGAGTCGGTTTATCTGTGAAATAACAGAGGTCACTTCCTTCCTTTCCTCTGCACCCAGAGTCCCTGTGAGTGTTCGGGCCGCCACTTCTGTGAGGGGACTTCCTTCCACTCAACACACAACAGCGTCAGGGCCGCGGCAACAGGAGCAGCCGCGAAAATCACAAGGTGTCCTGGGAAACATTCTGGGAACTACAAGTCTCATGAATTTAAAAACATTTTGCAAATTATAATAGAAAAAACTCATCTCGGGATACTCCATCCCCAAACAGTTTTTAAAACCACATTTCTGTACTAAGAGCGGCTCTCAGGACGGGTGTGGTACCGTCTCCCAAATTCCAAGGCAGATCACACCCACCCTCTCTCCCACCCCCAAAAAAAACAAAAGGCAAAGGAAACAGATTCAGGGTATTCAGTGTATGCACATGTATACGCTGCAGCAGCAGCAGAAACCAAGCTGGCTGGTGTTAGGTGCAGGTGACGGCCTCTTCTGGAAGTCTGTGTGCAAATTTCAGCGCTGGGGACCGGGTGGAGGACTGTGCTGGGGAGGGGGGTGGAGGACTGTGCTGGGGAAGGGGGTGGAGGAGTGTACTGGAGACTGGGTGGAGGACTGTGCTGGAGACTGGGCGGAAGACTGTGCTGGGGAAAGGGGTGGAGGACTGTGCTGGGGAAGGGGGTGGTGGAGGACTGTGCTCGGGAAAGGGGTGGAGGACTGTACTGGGGAAGGGGGTGGTGGAGGACTATGCTGGGGAGGGGTTGGAGGACTGTGCTGGAGACTGGGTGGAAGACTGTGCTGGGGA